ACAGCTCAGAGGGCATTCAGCACTTCACAGTTCAAGGTTAGTATTTGAGTTGTAAATGAAGTGCTACAGAAAGAACATCTCAATGAGGCTATATATGTTACTTTGGAAAATCCTGCGCAGAGCAAGAAGGAAAGCTAATTTTGATCTGACCTTCAAGCTAACACAGCAAAGCCTTTCTCATTATCAGTTTTTATTAACATAAGCTTGAAGAAAAGGGCAAAAAGACTTTTTTGTGTTACCAATTAATACAGTAAATAATTGCCTTACAGCTTTCAGAGTCAAGAAAGCAGCAAAAAAGCCAAAACTCCCAAAATCAAATCTTCTGCCACAGTCTGCCTAGTTGATAGCACAGCACAAGTATACCAGCTCTACACTGGGATTAACCAATCTGAAGATCAGGACAGTGCTGTGGGGAAGGAGTACAGCACTATCATTGATATCATTTTTAAGTTAAAAAGTTCCTCAAACCCACTGAGCATAGGAGGTTCACACTTCCAGCTGCCATTGTATCCCTGTAGGATCCCAGCAATTGTTTGTTTGAGTCTTTGGGATTGCAGGTAGGAATTAAGATAACACAGTCCCAATTTATATTAGGCTTTAAGCACATCAAAGCCACGAGTAGAGGAGCTTGGAACTGGTCAGCTTTATGGTACGTTTCTCCATTCTGAGCAGTGATGTACTTTATCCTTCGTTGCAGCCAGCCATGCACATAGGGATGCCCCAGATGCTCGTAACTTTGAGATATACAAAAGCGAAGTGGTCCTTGTGCTGTGGTTCACATTCCTCTCCAAAAAGAGTCTGTTTTGGTCTGCAGCAGCACCTCTTACGTTAGGGAGAAGTCTCCTGGATGCAAAGGAGTTTTGGCAGTTTGCAGACAAGTGACAGACCCTTTGTATTTGGTTAAGATGTAGCAAGTCTCCTGCCTGAACTGAATGCATATATGAAGTTCAGTTTAGTGTATTCCTGTATTCCATCACCATCTGTTATAAGGACTTATGGCAGGAAATAGTTTATGACATTCATCACTATATAATTAAAAAAAGGACACTTTATGGTATTATTAGCTGTCAAGCTCCATGACATCAGTTTTAAAATCTTGCCTCAGCAATGTTGTCTCGTGATCTCTTTGAAAAAATATTTGGAAAAACACCGCACCAGCCCACAAATATGTCTCATTTGTTCTCTTTCACATAAGCACGTTCTAATAGTTAAAGAGTCATTACATTTTCCCCCTCCTCCACTCCCCAAAACATGCACACTTAATTACAAGCACACTGCTTTGCATATTGTCATCTGTCTAATTATAATGCCTAGACTGTAGAAAGTGAATGTTGTTGATTTCCTCTGCACAGCCTTGCAGCAGCAGTGCTGTCCAGCTATTTCTTTGTGGGAGTCTGGCAAACAGAGATTCCTCTTGACAAACAAGTGAAAGATCAGACACAGCCTTTCTGGAATGATATTGTCTCACAGCCGTACAAGAGCTCCAAGCCTGAAATACTTCCAGAACCACAGCTTTTCACACAGACTGTCTAGACGCTTGCAGGACACTATTTAAAGACAGAAGAATCTTTTCTTTGACACCGTATTCTGAATATCCGCTGAGAGCTAACTAGCTACAGGGTGTTCCAAGTCAATACACATCTTAACTCTGCCTCTAAGCAAACTGGCACAAACATTCTCACTTGGAAAAAAAAAACAGCTTACTAAATGTGAGGTGAATCTTCAACATGCATTTAATGAAGAACCATTCCTAATTCTGCCATGTCTTTGTATGTGTGTCCAGTTACAGCACAATATAAATGAAACACCAAAGACTAAGCTCTTTTGTGGCAGGGACTCTGCTTCCTGTTTGAGCAGCGTTTAGGCATGTGGGGTCCTGGTTCCTGAGGTTTCCAGGCACAGAAAACTTTACATTAATGGCAGTGTTGAATCTTCCCAGTGAGAGCACCTGTCATCCAAGGCTTATGGATTTTATTTGAGGGTTTAACACTACTTCACTAAATGGCTATAAATAAAACATTTGAACTACATGCCTTGGTTTTTTTATCTTTAAGATTGCACACAATATTCACACAGTTCACAGGAATACTGCTGTGTGCTGGAGCATTAGTTAGGTATGAGTAGTCAGGTGACTGTTTAAGTTAAGACTAATGCCTCAGTGTACAGGCTAATACTGTTTTTCATGTTCAGCGCCAAATAACATCAGAAACTTGCTCTAAAATGCTCAGTGAGTAAAGTACCTGTTCTATATGCTGTTTCATATGTTCTCTCTAACCAAAAGTTCTTGGTTAGAACTGTTCTGACCCTGTTCTGACCCTGTTGTGACTTCACGTGACTGTTCATATGCTCCAAGCACAATGAAATAAGGTATATAGTGCAACCTGAGCTCCTCCAGATGCACTGAAGTTTGAGGCGAGAACATAGATGGACATTCAACTTGTGTTATTCGTATTAGTTACTTAGCCTTACTCCAGGATTTAAACCTACACGTGCCATTTGCGTTCATGTATGTAAACAAAAGAAAATTTCTGCTATTACTTTTTGCCACTGTGATGTAAAAGAATAGCTGTTTGTCTTTTTACAATTACATGTTCAGACTACAAGGCCTTCCAAGTGCCTTTTGGATAAGACAAAACAAGAATTCTCATGCAGCTTTCTTGCTCTTTCCCAGGCTTTTATCAGTACCTGTTTATTCAAATTTCTGTTTATTGGCAGCAAAACAATGTATTTTATATAAATGAGATAGTTCTTTTGTGTTTGATAATTCTTTGTGTGTTTCTCACTAGAGGGAATTTGCTTTGTTTTAGGAAGCTGCAAAACTACAGAAAGCTTTTCAAAATAAAAGTCCTTTCTCCATCTCATATTATTTGACCAGTACTCCATGCTGATGGCCTCTATGACCACTTATTGCTCTCATCTCTTCAGTTTTCTTTTGGTCTTGTTTCAGTTCTCCCCTCTACCACAACTGTCATTCAAGTAACTTTATCTTCACAAAAGACTAATTTCTACAGTGTCTCTATTACACAGTTCTCCACAGCTTACCAGCACCGCTGATTCTTTCAGTATTTCTCACCAAGACTATAAACCCACACTTAAAGCATTACAACTCGCCTGGCAGTAGTTTCCTTTTTTTTCCCTCAACCTTCTATGTCATGGCCTCTCTTCCTTGTCTTGTAGCGGTAGGGGCTGTTGACTGTCCGTGCCTCACTTTCTTCTACTTCTTGATCTTCTGATGAGAGAAAAGGATTTCAAAACTCAAACTTTTGCCGTAAAAACACATGTGCTTCCTCTCCTACCCTTCTTGATGGGCAGAAGTTTTTTTGGAAGTCAGGCATAAAACCTATGATCAATACAACTTCTGCCACTAAATTCTATCGTCATTTTATCGCAACAATTCAAGGGAGTTCAGTATTTTCACTCCTAAACACCTTTTATTACTTACTCCTCAGACCCTTCCCTTGTTAATGTTCTGCTTTATTTCACAATGTGGGATCTTAAAAAATAGTGATAAAAATTTAGAAATGTCTGTACTACCTCTGTCTGCTTGTCTGAAGGAAGCTTAAGTCTTCTTTTATTACTACTACAGAGAAGAAATGATGTTCTATTTCAGTATTACAAACCATGGGAACCAAACTTACCAACATCATGTTGGTAAGATGAAAAGTATTTGAATTCATCTTGTTCACTTGTTGACAGTTGTGCAGTATATTTTCCAGTCCTGTTTGCTTTATTAGCTGATATTTTTTCTGGCGTAGTTAGAAATTGCCTCATTCTAAACTGATGTTAAAGATCATAACTGCACGTAAGTACTGTACCAACATGACATAAACATACCTACAATAGAATAAAACTCAGGTTCTTCTGAATATGGGTGTTTTTTGGTGATGGTAGAGAATTTACTTGTACGTGACCTTTACTCCGTTTTAAACAAAATGCATATGAACAAGGATTTGAAACTGCCTGTGATGAGCTAGGCCTTATTTCTTACACATATGATCTACGTTTTCAAATGCATGCACTTTAATACCACATGCAAAACCTGAACTTTGATGTTCAAAACAGTACAGTCAGTAAAATCAGAACAGCTGAAAATCAGTTGCTCTGTTGAAACTCTTAAATTACATAGCTTCCTTTTCATATTATTTTCTGTAATTCAGTGATGGTAATATACTGGTTTGCCCTATAAAATATTTTTGTGTTCACTCACTCACAGCAGGCTATACATACAGAAATCTTTTAGCACTGACATCAGTACCTTGGTGTTAATTTATATCATTATCTGTAATGAGCAATAGCATCATTACTAAACTGCAGTACCATATAAAAACCTCAATTATCATTTCAAAGTTGGATTCCATTACTCTAAGAGATGTCTTTATGCCCAAGAGTAATTTTGCTTTTAAAACTAATGTGTGCATAAAATGATTGGAAAGAATATATGAGCCATTTTCATTAAGTGCGAACATTCATCTTGATTAATGATTATTATACACTAAAGTGTTACGTTGCATTGGATACAGTCAAAAAAGCTTTATTGCATTTTGTTCAGGGCAAAATTACCAGAAAAGTAAACTGTGTTCCAGCTGAAGTTCCACACTATTCTTAGACAGGGAGAAATTAATCATATGCTTTAATGTTGTAAAATGATAAAATTTTTAATTTTTAAAATTGCAAGATAGGGAATTTTGGATAATTGAAAAAAAAAGCCAAATCAGTTCAGCCTAATAACGAGATAGCATCGTAACAGACTTGCACGTAGTTTATGCTGCTGCTACTGAGTAAGTGCCCATGACCAACTTTCACAGCCCTTGGAAAAATTCTACGAGAGTTTTGGTGAGTCCTAAGTTGGGCGTAAAGCAGCACCTGGAAGACATTAGTTTCCACTGACTGGCTCTCCAGAGAGTAATGAATTTCTGTTTTACAGTGGAATTATTACATGAGGGTATTTTGAAATCTCATATGTTAGTTCCACTGTAAGCAACATAACTTCCCTTTTTTAGTAGGTTTTCAAGACATTGTTTTCTTCAGAGCAACTGTCCCTGCAGCCATAATACCATTCCCTGGATTTACTGTGTACAGTCTGAGAGAGGCAGAGGTCACAGCGAGCTTGAAAAGAGAGCATCTGGGTTCAGATGTGGAATACTAAGAAATATGACTGCAGAAGATGACCAGGTTTGCATATTCTCACTAAATTGCATCTCCTTCTGCCACTGTTAGAGACAGTGTACTGGGCTAGGTGGAGCATTGTTCTGACCTGGTGGGGCATTTTACGTTAAGCATGATTGCTCAGTACTGCATTATAGGGGATCTTCTGGGTCTTTGACAGAGCTCTGCTCTAAGCACTATAAATGATGTTCCTCATAAATACTCCTAATGCGTTTAGGAGCAATCCATCTCATCTCCAGAAGCACCATATCTTTCTTGTTACAGTCATGTCACTGGTGTTTCTGACCTTTAGGAACTCCAGGTCCAGGTTGTGATGATCCAATTTGAATCTTAAAGTGTGTCAGGTAGGACTCAAACATTGGAATGCATTGACTCATGAAATTTAATATTTGACTTCCCTTCCTAATGACAATCAATGCCTGCAATAGATCATCTGGGTAATATGTAGAAGATTATAGATCAAAATTTTGTATATGATACAGACAGTAATAAGTATTTTTTTGTTATGTCAGCAGAGTTATATTAAATAGGGCACAAAGCTTTTTTGTTGAGTCTTTTTTTGCAATTAAGAGACTCAAGTAACTTCATTAGTCTTCATTAGTATGAAAATCTAAAAATCAGGAGATGAATTTCGCACCATTGCTCCTGAGATTTCCATGAGCTTCCACCAGTCTGCCAAAACTAGTCATCAGTATGATGAACTGATGAGAGACAAACTTAGTTTTGCTGATGGAACTAATAATTTACTTTTGCTTTAGCTATTGTTACATAGATACACTGACAACCAGATTCTAGATGAAGAGCTACAATGTTCATTTTTGAAAGTCGTTTCTAAAAGCAAAAAGGCATAATTATTTCATTTACCAGACATCTGTATCTCTGCTGACAGAACTAAGCGTTTAGCTGTAGTAGAAGGATGTTTATGCGAACCTTATCGCTGTATAGGCTGAGCATTTGGAATCCAAAAAGCAGAGAAATGTGAGCTAGAATATACAGAACAAAAATACTGAAGGCATGCTATCTACTGATGTCTTTCCACCACAGTGATTTTGCACTCTCAGAAATCTTCTCATTCCTTTCTGCTCTGTTAACTTTTTGCTCATTTTCAGTCGTGGAGGATTGCCACAGGGACCAATGCTGCTTCGGTAGCATCTTTTATATAAAACAGATCTAGTACATTTAAATATGGAGATATATTTTCCTTATTCTTATCTCCCACTCCCTTTTGAGTCTTTTCAGTGACTCCATGGATAACATTCTAGGCATTCTTTGATTAGTGAAGTATTACACTCACAGGCTAGAGCCATTAAACAACAACTAGTCTGATCTTTTGCCAATCAGAGGCCAAAAACCTCATCCAAAAATAATCAGGGATATACTTCCCAGTCTGAAAATGGAAAGGTTTCAAAGGCAGGAGACTGAATTATTTGTATCCTGTATTTTTTCAGACATATAAAGATGGCATTTTTCAGCTTTCAGCATCCCCAATTAGACTTCAGTAATTCAGTCTCAGTTTTTTGAAAATCCTTACCACCTGGCAAAATACGTCTTTTAAAATTTGAATTTTAAAATTTGAGACCAAAAAGTTTCTCTGCAAATGAAAGTAATCACCAACAAACCTTAACATGAACCTCAGATTTCTCTATCATGATACCCTGTGAGAAAAGGTGAATTTGTCACATTAGCAGTCCCTGCCAATTCAACTTGAACAACCGAGGGTTTTCTTTCTGAACCAGCCAACTAATTAACAAAGAAGTGTGAGTGGAATTTTTTGACACAGGAAAATCCCAGGTTCCATTCACAGGCTGTGTGGCTTAAACTGAACACACTAATACTGCTTGGCACAAGCATGAAACAGTGTCTAAATGTGACCTTGATAAGTTAAATTTAGCTTCTAGTATTTTCCCCTTTGCTCCTGCTATTTATCCAATGTTTTTAATTTATGGTGTCCTGTAGTTATTTGAGTGATAGAAAACACTCACTGTTCTAAATCTTAAGAATTCCTTGCCAGTTAGTGATACTACCAATTCAGTAGAACAGGAGATTGTACTGGTGGATATAGTGAAATTACATATATTTAATCACTCTGTAAGAAAGACTGGGAGAAGACAGACATTGCTTTATCAGGTATGAAAAATAAACAAAAAAAAATCCCAAAGGAATGTACTGAAGTATGTTCGAACCAAAGGTATAAAAGAAGTAGGTTTTGGTCTCTAATACTTCAAAACAATAAAATTGTTTTGAAACAGTTTTCCAGAAATTTTGTCCAGAAATTGTTTTCAAATAGGAAAATTACCCCATGAAACATTGTTTCCTGGAGTCTTGAGAAAAGCTTGAGTTCTTTGACACAAATAGTAAAATTGAAGTGTAAAATAGAGTCAAACATTCAAGATTAATAGAGAACAAATATGCTCCATCTCCCATAGTTCTGCACTCATGTTGGCATTTTTAAAGGTGTCCTTTGCATCTCAAAAATATCCACCCTACTTTGGTAAAGCTTTCCATAGCTAGGTCTCTGGCTATCTTCCTGCAAGGGCACTATATCACATGTCAGTTTAATACATTGGGGATCTGTGCCAATTTATTACTTAAAAGCCAGCTAATATATTTCAGTAAGCAGACTCCTCTTATAAAATACTGGTTCTCTGAAATAATTAATCAGCAGATTGCTCCATGTAACAAGTTTGTTCTTAGTTTATTTTATATTATTACTCACTGTACTTTCAACTTCTAGTGTCTCATGACTTCTAGAAAAGTATTTTCTGCCTGCATATCTCCATAACTAATTAATTCTTAGCAGAATGCTTACTAAGTAGATTAGAAAAATGCTGTAGCTGCAGGCTGTATTTATGTTAATTCAGAGAGAGTTTTAGTCTCATGCTAGTCACCTTCTAACCTTTGTAACAGCAATATTTGAACACAGGATCAATGTTCATCAACATATTGCCAAAATACTTTTCCATGTTCACTACTTCATTTCAATCCATTAAGATTTTGTTCCCCTGCTGCGGTACAGCTTACTGAAATTTGGTGGAATACGTACAATTCTGAGATCAGAGCTCCCAGAAAACACTTGGAATCACAGAGGTTCTCAAGTGCTGAGACCCAGCCCAGGAGCTTAGCTGTTAGAAGCCCAAACTGGAAATTACAGTTCTTTAGGCTCATCCGTGATCCTACGGCTAACATGCTGCATGTCATTAGAACGGTGAAGATACACGCTGTCTCTTTTTTTACCTACCTATTAAATATTACAATATGGATAGTCTCAGCATGCAGAAAGGGATGGTCTGTAGACTCTAGATGACAAAATTATTTGTTTATATACACAGGTAATTAGCTGGCAGGTTAGACAAAGCAAGCTAAATTTCAGAAGCTATGAAGAAAGAAAGAAAAGAAAACACAGCTGAAATTAATTACATTCCATTTCTGCAGCTTGAAATTCATGCAGTATTTATGAATAATATATAATATATAGCAATTGAAGATAATTGATTTCTGCTTATATATTTAACAGACTCAACAAGTAAAGCCTGAGTTTTTTTAAAATAGCTCATTTACCCAACCTGATTTTGTGGTAATCACAACTAATGTTACATATCTGAGGCCTTATTGTGTGCCCAAAGTGTCTAAATCTAAGTCTGGCCCTGCTTCTATCTCACTTATTCAATAAAAATCATATGGAATTGCTGTCAATGGTGTGTGAAGCCAAAAAACCTACTGGACTGTGCCATCACTTAGTAGTACACGTAGGAGGGGTAGAGTGAATTATGAAGCAATATTAAGACCTGTTGAACAGCGTTAAAGGGGGAAAAATGTAAACAAAATGCTACAAGTCTTTAGTAGGAACTTAATAATTCATGTGACAGCAGCGAGGATTCTATAAGCAAGTGTGAACGATGCTTTAGAGGAAAAGAACTGCAGTATCTAATTAATCAGTACTTTCAAGATATGTTTTATTCCTCTAAACATATAGCACTGAAATTATTTGGAGTTTTAATTAATTTTTACTTCAGGTAAGCATCTTGGGAAGCATTCTTTGTAAAGCCTTTATTAAAAAATCAACTTACTCATGGCTCAATTTTCATTCATTTAGAACTTGTATGCATTATACTCAATGTTATTGACGTAAACTTTAAATGGAATAGATTTCTCCTTTCTAAAACATATTTTTTCCTTTAACTGTGTATAATTAGATCACAAACACAGAAGGAAGCTCCCAAGAAATATTGCAGTTTCATTTCTCAGTCTGCTTTTCCCACATTGCTGTTTTGAAACCTACTACATCAGTAGACATAGCTTCTTGGATTTTTGGAAGCTTTGATATCTGCGTAAAGCTTGTATAAAACTTGTTATGCTGTACTTGGTTATACTCAGAGAAAACAGCAGTGATGAACAGATAAGATTCAAATACCCTTTGAACTACTGATGTTTATTTTATACAGTCAAAGTGAACAAAATCTCACACTTAGGAAGAACAGAAAGAGAATCCCACAGCAGTGTCACAGGGCAGCACATATGCATGCCTAATACCTATTGAGCAGCAAAACTGTGCAGGAACAACTGCACATGAAATACTGTCAAGGAAATATTCCTGGTATCAGAACAAGCAGAGTCTGCATTCTTATGCTGGAGGAGCAGTCATAGCAAAGGAAATATTGATGTGTTCATGGGAGTTTTTGCAGAACAGGTGATATTTTCCCCTTTTTACAAAATAACAATGCAAAGTAAATTGTTTTATGCTTAAGGGAAAATTATTCTTCTACGTATTCCATGCTGAGTTTTTACTCTGGCTGTGAATGAACTTTCACTTTCATCATGTTACTCTAGATCACTTTCCATAACTTGAAGAACAAATATGAGATCCAAACCAGGTGGTATGGAAGTCACTTGTCTTCAAATATCAGCAAGGAAAAAGAAAAGTTTCTTTGCCCAAGTAAACTGTTTTTATACACAGTAAAAAAAAAAAAAAACCTGCACATGCCATTACTGGCATTGCCACTTCAGTATGTTGTCACTACAAAAAAAAAAAAAAAAGACATGAGATGACATTTAGTATCCCTAATAAGGCCTGATGTTCTAATATTATCAGTTATCTTCTCACTATGTTAAAAGTTAGTAATGGGCCAGTTTTCTCTCTGTTTTACTGAAGTGATATATGAATGCCTTTTTGCTTTAAACCAAGATCATCAAAAGACATGAATAGTCTCTGATGAAATTAAAGTTGCTGCTTTGCAGGGTCACTCTTATTATTCTGTGCACATGCATTACAGAAGGTTTTGGTTTTTTTGTCATGGAACAGTGTTGATATCTAAAAGCATGCTCTGAAAAGGTAATATATGTAAAAGGATGCTTTCAGTAGAAAAATAGATTTAGAATACATGAATTCTTTGAAGCCACAGAGCAGTGCTAAAATAGACATACTGTGATGGTTTTGCCTTCCTCAAAATGTACTATATGTCTTTATGGAAAGTGTTCCTTTGCACTCTTTCTCATCACTGAATTACAACTTACATTTTGAATGTATAAGGCTTCTGATGTTTTCCTTTGCATGCTAATAACATTGAAGACTAATGCAGAGAATGGGAAGTACATGAAAACAGGAACATATGAGAAGCTGATTCTGTAAAGGAAATCATCGTACCAGCAGGTATTCTGTAACGATGCTAAAATGTGATCAGCTGCATTGCACTCCTTTCAGGTTTAGTTCTTAAACACAGCTTGATTTTTCCTTAGCAATTCACTTTAGAGAAATGCTCTAGCTTAGAGAGAAGGGAATCTCGCTTATATAAAAGTTGTATTTACAGCTAGACCTGCACCATAATGATTCACGAAAGAAAAGGAAACTGATGTTGTAATGGTCCTTACAAACTAAATTATGGTGCTAGGCTCTTACCACTCAAAAACACGCTATGCCCTGACCATGCGACTAGGTAATTAGAATGCTCTGACGTTCGTTTCAAGAGCCACAGGGCTTGACCCATAAATCTGTTTAGTGCCTTGATTCCACTGATTTCAATCACAGCTAAGTGCTGAAGTATATTCCTGGATCTGGGCTACAGTTCTTGCACTGCTATTTGCTAAGTAACAAGTTGCTAAAGGCATTATTACATTGCCACTACAAAACAATGGCATGGGATTTAATTGAGAGCCCTCTACGAGGACCCAGCCTGCTATTCTAATAGTACCAGATTATTTTCTTACTTTGTTAAATGCAAGTAATAACTCTACTCCACAGGTTTCAGTATTTTCATCATTCTTACTAGCCCTAAGGCAGTAGAGGTCTTTGATGCCATTGCTGCTATATAATAGTGCACTGCTTTAAATCATTCAAGACATATGAATGGAATTAATACCTTTGATATGCAAAAAAGATCTGTAGTCAAGATGTATTCCCATAACCTTGCTGGTCACCCATATGGCCCAAAATAGTCCAGATCTGATAACTTTCTGACATGCTGAGAGAGTCCTTTTTTAAACAGGTAGCCTAAGGTGAGGGAAAGGGGCCTACAGATTTTGTGACGACATGGACCATGTTTTGAACTGTCACTTTCCTGAGTGGCTGTTCATGTGCGAGAGTGTGACAGTTTTGTTTTACTTGCCATCAGTGGTACTTTAAACTGCTGTAAGTCATCTACAGAAACTGCTTATAACTCCTCCTATGTCCATAACCCACTCTGCTTTGAGTATGTATTTCATTTTCTTTTGCTATTATAAAAAGCTGAAGAAAATAGAATTTTAATGGAAAAGTGAAACATATAGGTAGTTACTCAACACACTGGGTTTTGTGAGAATCTCCCGCTTTCATCCTGGATAATAATCTGGAATCATCTGCTGTGTACAGCCGAAGATTCACAGACCCTCAGGAGAATGCTTACTCACTAAAGGCACACTACAAATTAATCAGAACAAAGAAGATTGACTAACTGCAAATCAAGGATTAGATAATTAGTTACTGACAAAGAAACGACAAGCTCAACAAGTATCCACCGCATACTAATTCTGTTTTAAACACTACTATCTGTAATGAAATGCAGTCTTACCAGATAGTCAGCTCTTTACTTCACAGAAGTATTTTAAGCATGTACCATCTACAAATTATCTGGTCTTTTAAGCACTTCACCACATAAACAAATAGCTGCACAACAGCAAGACATCTCAACAATAGCTAGTTTATTGTCTCTCATCTCATGATGAATAATTCCCCAGCATTTTAAAATGTCTGCAGATTTTGTTACTGTCTCTCTTAGAGAAATCGTTCTTGCATTTAAATCATAAAAAGGTCCTAATGGCCCACTTGAGAACCGACTTTTAACTAGGATTTATGGATGTAAGTTTGAGATAAAAAATTAATCTTCCTGAGCCAACACCAACAGATGACACAGCAATACAAGTAGGATTAGTCAATAGCGGTAGTCAGTAGCCTAGATCCTGATCTCCCTTGTGTTAGCAATAACCTGTTGCACTGAACAACATTACATCACTTTTAAGTTTCCATCCAGAACAAAGTCTGTCCCGCTGTCTCTTCAGTCATTTGTTGGATTCATTTAAACAGGCTATACTGAAAAGGTGGGACTACCCTGACCCCAAAACAAACGCCAGTGAAACTAGGAGGCCTTCTGTTGACTTCCACAGCCTTTGGATGAGGCTCTAAAACAGAGAAATCAGAACGCTGGGAAGTCTTATATCCTAATTAGGATGGTCTCATTGGCCTGTCCCAGCCTGAGAAACCATCATTGTTCAAAAGGAATAGTATCTAGCTAAGTCTGTGTAACAATTTTTGAACACTGCTATCTTGATATTATGTAGCAGTCAGCTAGATATCACTTCATGTACTCTGCAACATGACAGAGAAATAGAAATCTAATAACTTTCTCTATATCCCAAGTTATTGCCACTTGAAATATTTTTAAATCTAAAAGTCTCATTGTGATTACAGTCTTCTGTAATCAACGTATTCTTTTAAATACAAATTATGGACTACTGCAGAAAGCATGAAGAAATAGATGTTGTTCAAAGAACCACACCAGGCTTTTAGAGCAATGAAATATTTGTTACAGTTCACAGGAATCTGTAAGAATAGCCACATAACCTTTCTCTGACTGTTCTTACAAGCATTAGAAGATAAAAAGTTCCTGGCTTATCATAAAGCAAGAGGTCCTGTAGCAAGCAGCCTTACACAGCAAAGGGAAACACCACTGTAGATACCTCAGCCTCTTCAAGGATTGCAAAGATGCTTTTCAGCTCTGACGCACAGATGGCCATTGCAACTGGTACAGGACTGAATAGAAAAATTCTTGCGCTGTAATACAGTTTTGGGACAACATAAAAACGCAGTTTTTTTGTGTTGGCTTTACAGAATCTGTGATAATCTGTGAATTAATATTTGTAGAAATAAGGAATACATGAGAACAAACAGAGACACAGGGCGAGCAAAACAAGCTCACACAGCAATTGGTCATATTGGTTAGTCTCTAATGAACAAGACTGACAGCAGTCAGATGGAAGTGGACATTTCAAGAAAATCAGATTACTCAATAGGAAATGAAAAGCAATCAAATGTCAGTCCCTGGGGGTGGGAGGAGGTTGGAGCTATGGAGCTAAACTAAGAAACCTCCCAAAACAGAACAAAAATACACATCAACATTTCTTAAGTCTGATTGCGTTTAGTCCTCAAACATGACACATCTTTCTGTGTATCATATTAACTTTATTCTGAGAGTCTGATCTGAAGGTATTTATAAATCCACAAAAATATATCCCACAACAAAAAAAATAATGCCCAGAATGAACAGTAATACTTTGCAATTGATTGAGAACATCTCTAGCACTGCTATATTCCTGAAGATACTAGCCAGTAATTTGCTTTTCAAATTACCAGATAGATCATGAAAAGTGAGCAGGCTTGACAAATGAGCTGTAGTTTTCTAGACTGCAGTCTTTAACAGATGTATTTACACATTTCACAATCTAACAGTAGAAACGCTGCATGTTACTCCCAAATGTTATAGGAAGTGTTACCAAACAAAAATCTTCCAACAAATCTCATCATGTTGACTATTAAGATTAGCCTGCCGTATCTAATTTTTCTCTTTTTACTTTTCTTCTTCTTGATCAAGATGTATTAGGCTACTGCTACTGTTTTAACTACGCTTTTCTTACTCACCAATATAGAAAAGTGCATGAACAAAGAAACTGCAGAATGCCTCTCTAAAGCATTGCGTCACTTAAATTTTTTAAATACTTTCTGAGGTCATTTAATGAATAAAACAAAACACATCAAAAACCTAACTCTGATCTTGGTTCTATTTTACACTGCTCTTCAAGCACTTCCCCTTTCAGACAAGGAGAAGGCAATTTTGTCTTGCCTGACCTCAGCCTGAGCCAGCTGCTCTTTATCCAACATCTGATTTCCCTTAAACAGTTTGACATTTCAGTTCATTTGATCAGAATTAACGACTGAGCTGAATGCCACTCCCATGCCACTGGATGGTAAACCGAAGGCGTTATGGTATTGCTATTGGTGATGATGTGGTCTCAAGTAGACATTACAGAGAAACATGAACAGATTCCTTGGGGAAGACACAGACGAAGGTTTCCCGGTGATGTTATTGTTCCCCGCTCCAAGTTTTACTGGAGAGGAACAAATGGAGTCTAAGTAGTGCTGGACCATTTGTATCTGCTCTATCAAATAAAGGAAGTCCTACACTGGGCTACACTAGGGGCAGGTGCAGTGAGAGGATGGTGAGACATAGTTTCCATGTTAGCATGACCTGAGGCAGTACACACCTTCTTGTCACATAACCTGGCAAAGGCAAGCACAATCCCCAGTGAACACTACAACGCATCATGGAGTCTAGCTATATGACTTACCTGTGTCCATAACCATGGTTGTCCTTTAATGTCACTTGAATATTCTGTAACATGTTGGGCTTCAAACCCTAACAACCATGCGGCATTCAGAATTGTAATTCATTAATATTAATGATATTAATATTCAGACACAGCCAGAATTTTTTGGCAGCACCTTCTGAAAAGCAACCAGACAACTACAATTCACATTCAGCAGAGATCTTAGGGATCACACATCTTCATGATGTGACAGACTCTGTGCACTTCACAAACAAATAAAAGGCAAAATGGAATCTGTTGTGCTACTGTAATCGTGTCATTTCCTTATATGTTAATATCTGTTCATACTTCTAAGAATACTGAAGGTCTTTTATTGGCATTTTAGGTATAAAGTTCTCAGAAAACAGTGCTTCGGCCAAGGGGCTTATATCTAACGAGTCTACTATCATCAGATTATTCACATTCCCTTAAGGAGAGCTGAATAATTAGAAGGAAAAAAATATATCCTCTACAAATGTAATGTACATTAAAAGAGAATTCTGATTTGACTGTATCTGCGATACATTTTCAGTAACTTCCCAAAAACCTTTGAGCTTCCAAGATTTACTAGCATAAATATAAAACTGAAACTTAAGCTCATGTATTTGGTTTTTCACTCAGTTGCTTTCAATTACAGTATGTGCATTTCATGCTGCAATCATTAGCTTCATGCACTTAAACAATTTTCTGAGATTCAAAAACCATATTTATTATTAGTGTTTTCAAGAAAATAGCACAGAGCATTTGAAACACGACATATATTTACTAAAAAAATGTGTGAATAATTCTGGATCATGCAGTTTCTGCAAGTGATTCAAAGACAATTTTTGCACATATTGAAAAACAAATACATTAATAACTAGAAATTCATTACTTAAATCTGATTTTACATCTAGAAATGTGTGTATTTTTATAAATTTTGAAATGCAGAAAGAAATTTTGCTCCTACCTCTTCCAAGGCCCATAATGAATCAACCACAGGCTTGATCTTCTTATTGTTGTATAGACTTATGAGTTTGTCCATTATATTCTTGATCAGGCCACCTCGATTCTGTTTGAAAAGTAGATTCAACAGAGAAAATCCAGCAATGACTTTGTTCTCTTCATACAGCTTGATAGGATTTACCTTCTCAACCTGCCACCACTGGAAAGAAAAATGACAGCAGGGTTAAAACAACACTCTTCAAGACATGTACAGAAAAGCTCACGAGAACTTAGTGTATCATGCAAACATGATACCCTAATCAAAGCGAAAGATCAGATTTCCGTGACTCATCCATCTATTCTGACGTAACAGCCAGAGAAGTGCGAAGGATGGCTTGGTCTCCAGATTACATTTGTAGAGGTGGCTCTCCTGTTTAGAAGCATTTTATTTGAGAAAGAGGTTAAAAGGTAAACAGTTGCTGAATAATGTGGAAACAAACT